GGCGGGGATTTTAATGTCATTAGATTCTCTGATGAAACCAGTAATCCCCAACAGGTAATTACAACAAGCATGAGGAAATTTAATGGTTTTATTGAAGAATGCGTATTGAAGGAAACGCCTCTGCTGCAAGCCAGTTACACTTGGTCCAACCTTCAGGAAACCCCTTTGTGTTCGAAGTTGGACAGGTTCTTATTTAACCTTGCCTGGGAGAATAGTTTGGAAAACTTGGTTGCTAGAGCGTTACCCAGGGTCACTCCGATCACTGTCCTATCCAGATAGGTACCGAGTTTTTTCCTACAAGACCCAAACCTTTTAGATTCGAAAATATGTGGCTTACCCATCCAGATTCTGTGAAAAAAGTGAAGGAATGGTGGGGTGAAGAGGAGAGGGGGGTAAGATGGAAGGGGATCAAGTTTCATAAGAATTTAAAAAGGTTGAGAGCCAAAATAAAAGAGTGGAATAGAGATCATTTTGGTAGAATTGAGGAGCAAAAATTGTGCCTAATCTCTCGAATAGAAAACTTRGATGTAAAGGAATCTCAAAATGGGTTGACTGAGGAGGACAGAGTGTTAAGGAGACAATTGAAAAAGGATTTGGAAGAAGTGTTACTGAGGGAAGAAATCAGTTGGAGACAAAAATCTAGACACAAGTGGATTAAGGAAGGCGATKGGARCACTAGATTYTTCCATGATTTGRMAAMTGGGAGACGAAGAAAGAATCTTGTGACCAAGCAAAAGATAGGAGAGGAGGTGATTACCAACCAGGATGACATAGCCAGAAAATTTGTGGACCACTTCAAATCAATTTATAGAAGACCTTTGAGTGAGAGAGCAGTCGTGAAAGGGGTGGAATGGCCAAGAATTGATGATGGAGTGGCAAGGTGGCTGGAAAGGGGTTTAGAGGAAGAAGAGATTAAGAAAGTTGTCTTTCTAAAGGATAGATCCAAGGCTCCAGGTCCAAATGGCTTTACAATGGGTTTTTATCAAGACTGTTGGGAGGTGTCGAAAGAGGATTTAGTTGAAGAATTTAAGGAATTTGCAGACAATCACATTATAAGCCCTATAACTAATGCAACCTTTTTGGCCTTGATACCTAAGAAGAATGATGACAACCATCCAAAAGATTATAAGCCTATTAGTTTGGTGACAAGCATCTATAAAATTTTGGCTAAAGTGCTCTCGTTGAGGATTAAAACAATCCTCCCTTCTATCATTAGTGAAACCCAGGGGGCTTCCATTCAAGGGTGACAAATAACAGATCAGATCTTAATTGCGAATGAGTGTGTGGAGGAAACGAAAAGGTCTAGGAAGAGAGGTTTCATTTGTAAATTGGATCTTGAAAAGGCCTATGATTTGGTGGACTGGGAGTTTCTATTAGAGGTTATGCGAAACTGTGGATTTGGGGACAAGTGGTGTAGTTGGATTTTTGGGTGTATCAGTACTTATCACTACCCTATTCTGGTAAATGGTGTGGTGAGGGACTTTTTTCCAGCTTGCAGGGGTGTCAGGCAAGGGGATCCACTCTCACCCTTCCTTTTTACCTTAGTAGCTGATGTGATTAGTAGGATCATTACTAAGGCTGACAGCTAAGATGCCATTAGGGGTTGGAGAATAGGGAGACACCAAGTCCCCATCACCCACCTTCAGTTTGCAGATGACCTAATGATCTTTTGTGAATGAGCTTTTAGCGAAAAGTTAGCAAACCTAAAGGAGCTAATCAAAGGATTTGAAAGTATTTCTAATTTGAGAATAAATTTGGAAAAGAGTTGCATAGCGGGTATAAATTTGGTGGTAGGGGAGGTCGAGGCTATTGCGGAGTGTCTTGAGTGTTCCACCTCTGCTTGGCCTATGTCATACTTAGGGCTTCCTTTGGGGGCAAATCCTAGGGAGAGTAGATTTTGGACCCCAGTGATAGAAAAGTTTGAGAAGAGATTAGCCTCATGGAAGAGGAATTAAGTCTCTTTAAGAGGGAGAATTACCCTAATAAGAGCTACCTTGGCTAACTTACCTACCTATTTTTTGTCTGTTTTTAGGATACCAGTTAGGGAAGCTAGGAAACTAGAGAAGTTGATGAGAGATTTCTTATGGGAGTCGGGACAAGAAAAAAAGGATCACTTGGTTAGAAATTATGTGCAGAAGTAAAGAAGAGGGGGGTTTGGGACTTGAGAGGGTAACTAGAAAAAATCAAGCTCTGTTAGGGAAATGATTGTGGCGATGACCATTGGAAAGAGAGAGATTGTGGCATGAGGTGGTGGGAAGCATTCATGGGAGGTCAGAGAATGGATGGGATGCTGATGTATCAAGGCAAGCTAACCTAGCAGCACCTTGGAGGGCCATTCACAACACCCTTCCTCAATTYCTCAATTTTATCAGGTATGAAGTTTGTTCTGGCAACACTGTTCATTTTTGGGAGGATATTTGGATAGGAGACACACCTTTAAAAGATCTGTTCCCTTCGCTATTTTCTGTTTCCTTGTACAAAAAAGAGGTGGTCTCGAAATTTGTCTCACCTTTGAAAGCACCCTTAGATCCTACTTG